GCCACACGGTCTGCCCATACACTACAAGTAAACATATCACATGATACATCCCCCATACCTTTCACCAGGAGGGGCCTTCTACCCATTTTATAGAAATTAAATTGGGGGACCCAACCCCCCACACGTGTATAAATTGAAAAGTCTACCTAAAGTGAATTTATATAAAACGAGTAGTCTGCAGGTCATTTTTCTATTGTTTGGCTATGATTTCATTGAATTTCAATCACTTCTGAGGCTTCATGTTTTCTAATTTAAAAAGGCAAGATTTCTGGGCGCTATAGTTTTCTTAAGTCTTTGAAGCTTGATTTATCTTGTTCCATGTCATTTTTCAGTTTACTTTTGGCATCTCCGAAATGTGTACAAAATTGGATCATTTGTTGTCTCCACTTCTCTGCGCTGCTCAAGTGATTGTTCTTGTGCGTTGGAAGCTATTCCAATCAGGGCCTGCAGGCTACCCAAGCGCAACTGCAATTTCCCATCGCACCCCAGCTGGACTGCCACAAAAGCTCTCCCTGCCACAAAAAATGCCACTATGCGACCTAGGAAATTTTCACAACAAATCGAGATGCAAATGTTTTTATACAGTGGTGCGGGGGTCAAGGCATGCCATTTTATAGAGAAAAGGTTGGCTTTCCAGATCCTGCCAGGTCTATTGGGCTAGGCCCCAATGCTTTGAAATTATTGTCTTTATGCAAAAAGCAGCCCACAAATAGATCTATTTATATAGATACAAAATCATTGTTAGCAACTTTTTGTAAAGAAATCAAAAGGCAAACCTTTCTATACAATAATAAGGGGGTCAAGGCAGGCCATTTTATAGAGATAAGGTGGGGATGGGGGGCTGCCAAGCCCTACGGAAGTCTGCTAGACTTGAGGCCAGGGGGAGAGGTCGAAAGCTAGCCGAATCGCACCGGATGTACTAGTTACATAGTCGGCAAAGCATGTAGGGATGACATGTTTTGGGAGGAAGGTTGCTATGTACATACTTTGCGCTAAAGAATGTAAATGTGACATCGCTGACTGGGAAGGGTACATTGGAACAACCCGGGTGCACTCGTTGGCAGGCACGAAGATGCGTGATCGGCAAATCTGGGGGGTAAATTTACCCTCCGCTTTTGTATGCCTTGAGTCGGAAAGAGGGGTAAGCATTTCTGACATCATACGGACTGTACATACACTAGGGCGTCCGTAGTGTAGGAGAAGCACGGGTAAAAGGTATATGGAATAGAGTGTCTTGAGGAAATAGCCGGTGTATGGTTATTGCAAATCTGGGGGGTAAATTTACCCCCCGCTTATGTATGCCTTGCGCTGGAAAGAGGGGTAAGCATTTCTGGCATCACAAGGACTGTGCATACACTAGGGCGTCCGTAGTGTAGGATAAGCACGGGTAAAAGGTAGAAGGAGTAGAGTGTCTTGAGGAAATAGCCGGCTTATGGTTATGGCAAATCTGGGAGGTAAATTTACCCCCCGCTTATGTATGCCTTGAGCCGGAACGAGGGGTAAGCATCACAAGGACTGTGCATACACTAGGGCGTCCGTAGTGTAGGATAAGCACTGGTAAAAGGTATCAAGAATAGAGCGTCTTGAGGAAATAGCCGGTGTATGGTTATAGCAAGCCTGGGGGGTAAATTTACCACCCGCTTATGCACGCATTAGGTTAGAAATAGGGGTAAACAACTTGTAACGGTGAAGTACAAGTCCTATGCAGCAAGCAGCAGCCAGCAGCAGCAGCAGCAGCAGCCAGCAGCAACCACCAACCAGCAGCCAGCCAGCAGCACCACGCAGCAGCAGCGCAGCATCAAGCCGCAGCAGCAGCAGCACCACCGGCAGCAAGCAGCAAGCAGCAGCAGCAAGCAGCAAGCAGCAAGCAGCAGTAGCAGCGTCGTCAGCAACAGCAGCAGCAGCACCAAGCCGCAACAAGTAGCAAAGCAGCAGCTACAAAAGCGGCAACCAGCGGCAGCAGCAAACAGCAGCAGCAAGCAGCAGAGCGGCAGCAGCAGCACCCTTTACACCAAGCCACCGTTACACCCAACCAACCACGTTCACACGTTCAACCAACCCCCTACACGGCGCAGCTGGGAGTTGAACCGCGGGGGGGGGGGGGGGGGGGGGGTGAAAGAGTGACTAGGGCGTACACGGTAGAGGTGCAGACCGCTAGTGTCTTTTATGCGCAGAGTCTTATCCTCTTGCTCTTTGAGCCTTGAAGCAGTCAAGCATGGACACACTATATCAGCTGTTGGAGTGGAACCCTGTACAGGTAGGCTCTACTTTTCAGCAGGCACAAGATTCATGTCCACTTCTAGCTGATTGCGTATGTCGCATACTCTTTTTCTACTGCAAGGCTAAATCAGTCCAGCTAGCTCTGACAACTTAAAAGAAAACTACGGTGCCATGTACTTACCTAATCCAGTGTGTTTCACACTTCAGAGAAGGTAATCTCATAGCTACTAAATACAGTGAGGGAGCAATAGCTGACTCACCTCAAGTACAAAATCAAAGCGATAATGTACCTCGGCTGGAGACTGTACTTTTTGCAGGCGGAGATACCATGTACCGGCGCTCACTAGCTCTTTATGGCCTGAGCTAAATCAAACTAAAAGGGAAAGCGGCTTTTTCTCTACAGAGACCTATAAAAGAATCAAACGACACTCGCGTAACAACGAACTAAAAATTCAAGACCGCACAATGCAATGAATTAAGATGCCTTGCAAAATGCAAGGAGCGTACGGTCCGAGGAATAATCTTCTCGTGACGTGGTCTCGACCGCTTTCATTCACAGACAAAATAAACTGCATCAAAAGGACTCTCTTTCACATTCACATCAAAACACAAGAAGGAGATACCGGCAAATGTATGTACAAAACTTGCACTACAAATGCAGACTTATGAAATGACTTAATCATCAACCATGAATGGTTGTCCATTAGAGGTCATCTCAGAAAAAGCGGCTGTGATAGATATCATCAGTTATGCAAAACTGTCCATACCTATCTGCATGCTAAAGCGTATAAACCTGGAATGCAGGAGTATCTTCTTTGATAAAAAGTTTCTCCTCATTGCAAACCAGAATTTATTAAAACTTCAGCCTGGCAACTTAAAGTCAAGCCTGGAAGCAAAGTATCAACTGTAACCAGAAGTATCTTCACTTCCTAGCCATCATTTAAATTTCAGCCTTCGCTCAGGAATTATGCCGCTGCAAACGATGAAGTTGCTTGATCAGAAGTTGGCGGCCTTCCTTTCCTTTTATTCTGCTTTTGTCTCTCCTTCCTCCGCAAGTTCGCCTCATGAAGAGTTGGTCCCGTGCGATACTGTTTTCTGTCTCCAGATGAAAAGGAAGCTGGTCTGAGTGAAATAAACATTGGACCATGACTGTCCTCGTCAGTGGGCCTTGAGCACATAACCTCCGTGTCAATCATAGCAAAGTTCTCTGAAAAATTACAGATGAACTCCTTCGTACTCACTGTGGAATTTTCATATTCCTCTTCACTCATTGAATGACCCCATTCAACAATGGTAGACAAACATGTATCGCCAAGCTTTGATCCTTGGTATTCTTCTTTTTCAACAGTAGAATATTCTTCCCAGAGTTTGTCAAAGTAATCTTCACAATTCTTGAGGACCTGTGAAGTAGAACTGTAAAATGTTCTGGGAATAGGTGCTTTGATACCAGGATCTGCCTTGACACGAGCTTCTGAAAACCTGCGGATCCAATGCTGCATGGTGCTGTAATAGTAGTTAGCCATTGGCTGCCTTTTGTACCCAGACATTCTGTAGGCCAAACTATTTGCATCACCAGAAATGATGTCCACCTCATAGACAAAACACTCGTAAAGCATCAATGCTGTCTGTTCTCCTGTCAGTAGGTGGGCATCCACAGCACGGTGTGTATCAACATGATAATTACAGACTCTGATGGTATGCATGTTCGCTCGAGTAAGTGGAACACGCTTGTCCTCAGGACCATAGTCATCAAATTCAAAGTCTGCATCCTTGAAATCTTGACGAGGCCTTGTTTCTC